CGTATTAGACTAATGTATGAATGTGTAAGTGTTATACTATTACGTACTAATGTATGAACGTGTAAGTGTTATTACTATTACGTATTAGACTAATGTATGGAATGTGTAAGTGTTATTACTATTACGTATTTAGACTCATGTGTGGAGTGTGTAAGTGTTATTACTATTACGTATTTAGACTAATGTATGGAGTGTACAAGTATTATTACTATTACATACATACGAAGTGTGTACTGTGAAAGTTTCAACAGTACCATTACGTATTTTGGCTGATGTATGGAGTATGCTAGTATTATTACTATTACATACAAAAGAAGTGTGTACTGTGAAATTTTCATCATTACTATTACATATTTAGACTGATGTATGGAGTATGCAAGTAGTATTACTATTACATACATAAGAAGTGTGTACCTTGAAAGTTTCATCAGTAACATTACGTATTCAAACCAATGTGTGGAGTATACAAGTATTATTACTATTACATACATAAGAAGTGTGTACTGTGAAAGTTTCATCAGTACCATTACGTATTTTGAGTGTTTACATGTTATTGCAATTATGTACCTATGTTGATGTGTAGTTAATATGTATTCTTGTTATGCTTCATTTCAGTGGTGTAAATATGTTTGTATTATTAACTGGACGCTTACCATTCACCGTCGAACCATATAATCTGAAAAAATTGTTCAGTAAAATGATTCACCGTGATATGAATTCAATTCCACCCTTCCTGTCACAGGGTAAGATAATTTAATAACCCATATCTGTGACATAAAAAGTGAATACAACAACCCATACCTGACACAAAGTCAATACAACCATACCTGACACACAGTAAGTGAATACAACCCATACCTGACACAAAGTGAATACAACAAACCATACCTAACACAAAGTGAATACAACCCATACCTGACACAAAGTGAATACAACATCTATACCTCACACAAAGTAAGTGAATACAACAACCCATACCTGACACAAAGTAAGTGAATACAACAACCCATACCTGACACACAGTAAGTGTATACAATCCATACTTGACACTAAGTAAGTGAATACAGCAACCCATACCTGACACAAAGTAAGTGAATACAGCAACCCATACCTAACACAAAGTAAGTGAATACAGCAACCCATATTTGACACAAAGTAAGTGAATACAGCAACCCATACCTGACACAAAGTAAGTGAATACAGCAACCCATACCTGACACAAAGTAAGTGAATACAGCAACCCATATTTGACACAAAGTAAGTGAATACAACAACCCACACCTGACACAAAGTAAGTGAATACAGCAACCCATATTTGACACACAGTAAGTGAATACAACAACCCATACCTGACACAAAG